AAATATCATGCACAGAGATCTAAGTCCTGATAACATTCTAGTCTTTGAGAATGGCTAAACATTCAAAATTTGCGATTTTGGAATGGCTCAGCTGTTATCCAGCTCAAATTCTTTTGTAGGAAAACCATTTTTTAAAGCACCAGAAATAGACTCAGCTGAAGAATTCAGCTATAGTACTTAAGTAGACATCTGGTCTTTAGGAATAATACTTTACTACATGTGCACTAAGAAATACCAATACTAATAAGGCATGTCAATAGCCTAGATTAAGCAAAAAGATTAGACAAAGCTAATTTTACTTGAAGGTGAATAGAAAGTATTCGAGCCACTCCTTAACTAAATGCTATAGCTAAACCCTGATTTAAGAATAGATGCACTCTAAGTACTTCTAGAACTTTGCAAACTTAAGAACGAACCATTTAACAAGCATTTAGAATTAGAAGAACAAAAACAAAGCAATCATAGTCAGAGTAATGATGAACCCAAAAGTGCTTTTGCTTTAACGATAAAATCAACCAATGCTATTGTTAACGAAATTATAGTCAAGCTAGGAGAGTTTAATTATGGTGAATTTGATAAGGTTCATCCAAATTTAAACAGAATCTTCATGCCTATTATTAAATATGATAGTGGTGCTATGTATCAAGGTGAATATGATAAATGTACTAAAACATATGATGGAAGAGGAAGATATATTTGGAGAGATGGAGCAGTTTATGATGGATTGTGGATGGATAATTTTAGAGATGGATATGGAAGACAAATATAATCTAATGGAAATTATTACATTGGTGAGTTGAAAGATGGTAAATTTAATGGATATGGAAAATATTATTGGAAGGATGGAAATATTTATGAAGGGTAATGGGTTAATGGTAATAAAGAAGGATTAGGATTGCTTAAATGGAGTAATGGTGATTTTTACTATGGATAATGGGTGAATGGGGAAAGATAAGGAGTAGGAGTATACACTAAAAGTAGTGGAAATATTGAAGTTGGATAGTGGAAGAAATAATAACATGGAGTATTGATGTACATTGCAAAGGATGGAGAGTAGATAGAATTAAGGAAATGGGAGAATGGGAAGTTAATTGAGACATTAGTTAAAACAGATAATGTTTAAAAGTGATTAATTTAATTATCTAAAAACAATATGCTGAACTGAGAATGCACTT